GGATTTCACGACACGTCCTTCTAAAGCGCCGGAGCCGGGGCAGCGGCTGGCAGTGCCGGGGCAGACGCCGGCCCCGTGCCGGGGTACCCTTCTCCCCACCAAGCCACACACCCCCCTGTCGCGGATGCAGCCCATGCATCTGTACCCAACAACCCGAGGGCTCGTCTGCTCTCTCCGGTTGCTCACACAGCCCCGGGACGGGGACGGTGTGGAAAATGAGGCCATGATAGCCCCATCGATCGGTGTAAACGCTGCGGAGTCCCACTGGCAGCATTTAGCAGCGGGGAGCCCACAGACAGCAGGCAGCACACCATTTTCCAGACAGCCGCCACAATCAATGGTGCTGCACCTCTTAAAGCAAAACCAGAGAGCTCGAGGGGGGAAAAAGAAAAAGAAAGATAGCTAAGTACTCCCAGGGAAAACAGAGCAAAACCATAAAGTGGCAAAGGAAAAAATAAGCTGAGAGCAAAGGGAGCAGTTGCCTTCTCTGTCGTCTGCACCACGTAAAATGTTCCAATGCCAGCCCGCTCACAAAAGCTCTGACCCCGGTAACTCTGACCTTTAAAACCGCTGGCAAGCACTTTAGGGCCTTCCAGAGAGACCACGTGTCCCTCCGCCTTCAAAGAGAGCACGACGCCTTCTTCAAGGGCACGGAAGGACAGCAGTACGGGGAGTCCGAGACGCTCTCAGCATGGTCTTTTATGAGCCAAACAACAATACTCCCAGTATACTCTCCGACTGCTTTGTGAGTGTGTGGGGAGTTTTGTCATTCCCTAGCACAAAGCTGACCAAAACACAGCGAAATGTCAACAGCGCATGCAAAATTCATGGCTCCCAGTGAACCCCGCGCCAGGCTGAGTCTCGAAAGCAGCCAAAGGAGAATCCAGGACAAACAGCGGCGGAAGACAAACAGGTGCTTCTCCAGATTTCACAGAATCACAGAATCACAGAATGGTAGGGGTTGGAAGGGACCTCTGTGGGTCATCTAGTCCAACCCTCCTGCCAAAGCAGGGTCACCTACAGCAGGCTGCACAGGACCTTGTCCAGGCGGGGCTGGAATATCTCCAGAGAAGGAGACTCCACAACCTCCCTGGGCAGCCTGTTCCAGGGCTCCGTCACCCTCAGAGGGAAGAAGTTCTTCCTCATGTTCAGACGGAACTTCCTGTGCCTCAGTTTGTGCCCACTGCCCCTTGTCCTGTCACTGGGCACCACTGGAAAGAGCTTGGCCCCATCCTCCTGACACCCACCCTTCAGATATTTGTAGGCATTTATAAGGTCCCCTCGCAGCCTTCTCTTCTTCAGGCTGAACAAGCCCAGTTCCCTCAACCTCTCCTCGTAGGGGAGATGCTCCAGTCCCCTCACCATCCTCGTAGCCCTCCGCTGAGCTCTTCATCTTTCTTGAACTGGGGAGCCCAGAACTGGACACAGTACTCCAGATGAGGCCTCACCAGGGCAGTGTAGAGGGGAAGGAGAACCTCCCTCGTCCTGCTGGCCACACTCTTCTTGATGCACCCCAGGATCCCATTGGCCTTCTTGGCAGCCAGGGCACACTGCTGGCTCATAGTTAACCTGTCGTCCACCAGGACACCCAGGTCCCTCCCCGCAGAGCTGCTCTCCAGCAGGTCCACCCCAAGCCTGTACTGGTGCATGAGGTTGTTCCTCCCCAGGTGCAGGACCCTGCACTTGCCCTTGTTGAACCTCATCAGGTTCCTCTCTGCCCACCTCCCCAGCCTATCCAGGTCACGCTGAATGGCAGCACAGCCTTCTGGTGTATCTACCACACCTCCCAGTTTGGTGTCGTCAGCAAACTTGCTGAGGGTACATTCTAACTCTTCATCCAGGTCGTTGATGAAGAAGTTAAACAAGACTGGGCCCAGTACTGACCCCTGAGGGACACCACTTGTCACCAGCCTCCAACTAGACTCAGCGCCGCTGATGACAACCCTCTGAGTTCTGCCATTCAGCCAGTTCTCAATCCACTTCACCGACCACTCATCCAGCCCACACTTCCTCAGCTTCCCCAGGAGGATATCATGGGAGACTGTGTCGAAAAATGCGAAGTTAATGCGAAGTATTCTGAAAGGACTAAAAAGTAGGATTAGAATCCAAGAAGAAAAAGCCCTATTAGTGTGGGGAGACATCAGTGAATTACTAAATGTCATTTAGGTTAAAGATACAAGTAGAATCACAGAATCATAGAACCAGAATCTTAGAACAGTGTGGGCTAGAAGGGACCTTTAAAGATTATCCAGTTCAACCCCCTTGCCATCTTCAACTAGATCAGGTTGTTCAGGGCCTGGCCTTGAATGTTGCCAGGGATGGGGCATCTACTGCCTCTCTGGGAAACCTGTTCCAGTGTTTCACCACCCTCATCATAAAAAATGCCTTCTTTATATCCAGTCTAAATCTGCTGTCTTTTAGTTTAAAATCATTACCCCTTGTTCTATCGCAACAGGCCCTGATAAAAAGTCTGTCCCATCTATCTTATAAGCTTCCTTAGGTACTGAAAGGCCACAAGAAGGTCTCTCCCAAGCCTCCTCTTCTCCAGGTTGAACAGTCCCAACTCTCTCAGCCTTTCCACATAGCAGAGGTTCTCCATCCCTCGGATCATTTCTGTGGCCCTCCTGTGGACCCACTCCAACAGGTCCATGTCTTTCCTGTGCTGAGGGCTCCACCAGAGCTGGACACAGGACTCCAGGTGTGAGCACACATTGCTGGGTCATGTTGACCTCATGTCCACAAGTAAATGTGATAAATGAAGAGAACATGTTGATGACGAAGAAGTAATGAAAAACATTTTTCCAACTTGTGCAGTCCAATAAAGGTTTCTTGAAGAGATAACCATGTGGTAAATATTTATTAAAATTTAAATACTTTTAATGAGATTTTTAAAAATTGAAGTACCCTCTCTGCGTGAATTTTTTAAAGCTTATATATAATATATGAATTTTCTTTCACTCTCCAGTGAGTTCTGACTGGCCAAAGGAATCATCTCCCATTTTACTTATACATGTCTACTGTTAATATGTTTAATATTTTGAAGAAATTCTTCATGAACACAATTTAAAAGAAACCTTTCACTTTAACCTGAATCAAAATACTTAATTTCAAACTGAAAATAGTTGCTGCTGTATATATAACTTTATTTTGTTTCAGAATTTTTGAGGAAGACTATGTTTCATAGACTTGTCATCACCATTTCCCACTGACTATATAGCGCCCCAGAATTTACAGCATAATAAATCAATAATGCTTCATGGGAAATACAATTTGGTCTGTAGTAGGAGACATTAAAGACCCAGAATTAAAATTCCCATGAGGCACATCAACAGCTCTGGCAAACACACACAGGTTTCAAGCATATAGGTCTTAAAACATTTTTGTTCCATGCAGTGTTACTCTGTTTCAACTTTTGCCTTAAGTCTGGATAAAAATATACATGGAAATATCATAATTTAATACCACATAAAAGTCTGCTTTGTTTAAGTGACTCGAACTCTTAGTTTTCCCTTCTTCTATACACTGATATGACCATATCTGTTTACTAATCTGGAGCTGATACGCATTATCTGTTCCTCCTTTATTCAATTTCATTTTTCTGCACATTTTCTTTCCGTATTCATACAAGCTCTGCACCCATTTATATATTGTTCCACTTTTTCTTTGCTCTATCTTTCCAAAATTCGCATTTGGATCCCTTTTTTTCTCCTTGGCATATCGACTTCTTTTATATCTTATCCCCTATCTCTTCCTCTGCTACGTAACTTCCTACAATTTTGTTGTGTTTTACCAGCTCCAAGTCCTGATGACATTTTCCCACTTTGTTCAAGTTGAAAAGCTGATTGATTGACACCAAGAATTTGAGATAAAAGTACTAGAATATGCCAGTATATTTCCAGAGGAGACACTAACAATGACGAGCATGTCAGATTCCAGAAGTCAAGTACAGCTGAACTTTTCTGAGAAGAGGTGGCTTGATTCTTTGAACAGCCTTTCAATAATCTGCAGAATCAGTCATTAATCTGTATAGTGTGCTCTTTCATCCTTCAGATTTAGTGAGTGTGGATTTTATAAACAATTAGT